TGATTTAATTGGAACTCTGTTCCTAACCAAAGTAGTCTGCTTGTAAGACGTGCCTCAGCCAATTACGAGTATGGTGAAAAGGTGTCCTGGTCCGATTGTAGTAATATTGTTCGCCCAACACCAGACCAAGAGCTGAGAGCCCGGCTCATCAGTTGGAACTATGTTCCTACCTAAATAGTTGTCTTGTGGAGTAACGCCCTAGCGGAACGCAAGATAATGAAATATGGATCTTGGCCCACTAGAGGTTTCGTCGGAAATCTCCGAATCAATATCGAGGGTTATTGATTTGTTAAAAATAGTGGGAGATAATTAATTAAAGGCCTAATTAATTATTAAACATGATAGATAACCTAGTTTGAAAAACTTTTCTGTAGATGGCAAACAACAACAACCCTTTCAACCTGCGTTACATCTTGGAAAACAACAAGTTATCCGGGACCAACTTTCTTGACTGGGAGATGAATCTCCGAATCGTTCTTAACTATGAGAGGAAACTCTACATCATCGAAACAGATCCTCCCAAAACCCCTGATGCTAATGCTCGTGCGTCCGAACTCACTTCCTTCAAGAAGTATGAGGACGACGCGCGAGATGTAAAGTGTATCATTATGGCCAGTATGACTGCGGAGCTCCAAAGGCTCCACGCGGACATGGAAGTGCGTCCTATGGTACAATGCTTAAGAGACCTTTACCAGGGTCAGCCCCAAAACTCAAGTATTTATGTTATCGAAGTCAATATGTCTGATATCACCTCTTGGGTGATGGATACTGGATGTGGTTCCCACATCTGTACTTCTATGCAGAACTTGCATGAATGTAGACAATTGACGGAGGGAGAGATACAACTAAAAGTTGGCAATGGCGCACTCGTCTATGCATTGGCGGTCGGAACCTATAGTTTATCTCTACCTAGTGGTCTTATATTGCATTTGAATAATTGTCTGTTTGTGCCTAGTATGAGCAGAAACATCATTTCTGTATCCTGCCTTGACAAAGCAGGATTTTCGTTCGTTGTAAAAGACATAACTCTTTCTGTCTTTAGAAATGATATATTTTATGCAAGTGCAAAAATGACCAACGGTCTCTATGTCCTTGACATGGATACCGCAATATATAACGTAGATGTTAAGAGAAACAAACCTAACAGTTTGAATCTCGCGTACCTTTGGCATTGTCGTTTGGGCCACATTAACGAGAAACGCATATCTAAGTTACATCGTTCT